GTCGGAGAATGCGCGCCATCAAAAATGCGGGTTGGACGGTGCAAGATTAAGATTCACCACGGGCCTGATCCTTACCCGCTCCTGATATTTCGCGTTGACGTTCTCGCGAAGCCCGTTGTCAGACTACTCTTTGATCTTCCCTGCTTCATTTCCGATTCGATGATATTTCCCATACCCTTGGTTGGGCAAACGTTCCCGTACCTTGCCGAACTGAACCTTTCGGTAGTTTGGGGTAAAATGTGTGTGAAGTAGGTAGCGGGATGCAAGATGTCACGTCTCATGCCTCTCTAGTGCATGTAGCTGCATGCTCTCGGAGAAGCGCTTCCTTCACAACGACGAAATACCCATTGGAACGAACGGAGTTCCCCACCTCTTGAATGCCCCACTCACTTGCCCAACATGTGACCTGAAGCTGAACTGAGCAACATGTAATAGTAGAAAACCTACTGTACGGCTCATGCAGTTGCTGTGAGCGCTATGTTCGGGATCGGGGCTCTTCATCTAGAGAGGCGAGGTCATAGAGATACAGAAACCACGAAAACCTGAAGCAAATGGGGGGGGGGAAGAAGAACGAGCAACAGTTTGGCCCCAGAGCACGGGCCCCGCAAGAGTCGGACGACGACGGCTAGAGTCACGGCTTGGAGGAGTTGAAGTACTGATGAACGTTGAAGTCATCTCTCATGAAAATAGGTGAGGCTCTGCGCACCTCCCCCACGCTACAATATAGTTGCAACCGTGGTCGTCTGATTCTCACGGGGCCAAGCCGAACGGCGCTCTCTTCCTCTCCTCATGCCAGTCCACAGCAATGTGAAATATTTGGTTAAACGGGTGGAGGAGAGGTTGTTTGGAGACATGGTATATTCAGAGCCAAGCGCTGGAACCTGGCGCAGGACCCGCAGCATGTACTGCGTACACTTTTCTACGCTGGTATGTCATCCATAGCTGTCTGCATCAGCCAACTTCGTTGGTACGGGTCCCTAAATCACAAACGCCACAACAGCGTATCACTCTCTTTGCATCGGGTTAACCGTGTCTCCGTAGCTACGGATGCTACAACCATCGGCAGTTCGTTTCCGCAGAGAACATGCACCAATCGAGACACCAACGGACCAGTCCGCATTTCTCCCCCGACTAACCGCCGCAATAACATTTGCCAATGCCAGAGGTTGTGTAGACGGCATGAATACACCATTCGACGTAGGGCGTGGGGATATTCTTCACACGAGAGTTCAAGCCGTGGGCAGGGACACCGTGCCATTCAAGCGGGGCACGTCTTGCAAGAGTTGACGCAAGGGTTCAAACGTGCATCGCGGAACAACTGCTTGACAGTGGTAGCTGGGCGTGACCAACGCAGGAACACGCCACTCATCGACTATACCTGGCAGACCGCAGGGGAACCGCTGCCGGTACCGGCCTCGGCGACGGCGGCAGCTACCGCGTCTGCCAGGGCGGCGGCTGCTTGGGCAACTTCCGCTACCGTGAGGGCGGCATCCTCGTCATCGCTGGCGTCTTCACGCTGGCTTCCCCTGTTCATCACCAAGACCGAGACATGGGAAATACACAAGGTTTACTGTATCGTATCGTTGATTGATGTTGGAATTTCGGCAGCGATAGCGGAGCACCACAGCTATGCAGAGTCAGAAAAAAGGTGCCGGTACGATGGCTCATTCCCGCCACCGTCAACAGCCCGATCAGCATCAGCATCGCCATCGGCATCGGCATCGGCATTGGCGTCGGCATCGGAATCGGCATGAATCACGTCGGCAGCATCAGGCGCATAGTACCAAACGCATCATGGGCAGCACAGGACCGGTCACTACGGCTGTGAATGTCATCCCTACTTGCAGTTTCATCTCATCATCAACGAGTTGCTGATAACAACCGGGGAAACACAAGACGGGGGCACCAGCTCCGTTACATTGAGAGGTTGGCAGAACAGCTCCTAGTCAGGTCGAAAGACGACCGAAAACCTACCAGTTGGCAGGAAGAGAGGCGCGGGATAACCTGATTTCAGGTAACCCTAAATAAATATTGAATATGTAAGATCATCACCAGAAACACTGGCATCGAACTTCATTCGCTTAAGACTGAGCGGATATTCTACAACGCCAGATAGACAGCATCGACATCGCCCTTGAACAAGGGTGAACAGGTGGGACGGCGGGCGCACCAACTATCGGAAAATATCTGTATCCCTCTCCATTTCCTCCATATCTACGCGAAGCAAAACGGGGAGACGAGCGTGATCGGGTACATCTTGTCGTAGGAAACACCTCCATTTCTGAGGGAAGGACTGTCTTCCTGTTCCGCTCTTTGCGCCAGCCGGCCTGTTTTCTCTGCATCTAGACAAGTGTGTGTTGGGTTCCGTTGACATTGCGCGAGTGGGAGAATGCCTTGGGCGCCAACTGCCGTTGCCTTTGTCTCCTTACATTTCTTTCTGGGTGGGTCTGTGGGCAACAACGAAAGACGCGAGAACTGACAACCCAGCAATGAAAACGACATCCAATGCCACGAGCTCTGCAAGGTCAGAACAGCGTTTATGTACGGGGAAGTCACATGTTGTTGATGTGGTGGGTAGGATGGAGGGCAGAATAGTGGCCATGACACGAGATCGTATTTGTCAATAGAGGGGAGACAGGGGTTGCATGGGCCAGCACGTACCCCAGAAAATGAAATCACCCAGCTCCGGGTGAAGGCAGATGACTTCCTCGCCGGCCTCCGCAGGAGTACTGGTGGCCTTCTAAAACAACGGCAAGAGAGATGGAACGCCGGGGGGGGGGGGGTTACGCCTGTATCAAACTCCCTCACTTTTCTGTCTCCTCGAAGGAGAGGTTGGTCAACCTCTTCACCACTCCCGCCAAATCTGCCTCCTCAGCGATCTGCATCGGGCAAGCGGTGGCATGTCATGGGGAAAGAGGGCTTCTTACTGCTGGTTTGGAAGGTGAACACCCAAATGAAACAGCGATCTTCAGCAAGCATCGACAGCCTCCCGAAAGCGCACTTTAGGATTTGCCCTTGACAAGGAATTCGTACACCGGAGACTCAACGCGTGCGGCACGGCCTAGTCTAGACCGGGGTCGAGCCGAACAGCATTCTCTTCCTCTCCTGATGCCAGCCCACAGGAGGCAACGGCAACATTTGAACGGGTTGGGGACAGGTTTATTACTGTAGAAGGAAAATACGGGGCCAAGTGCGAGAGCCGTACCTTGTGTGTTTGTCTGGTAGTGGCCTGACCGCAGCTAATTCATTCCGGAGATCTTGCCGTATCACAGCAAACATGTGCACACGGCAGTTAGCAGTATGCAGTCACACCTCCGTGTGTACCGCGTCAGCCCGATGTCACTTACTTTCGCAGATGAGTTGTCGTTGCCTTGGGTCGCTGTCGTCAGCTTCTTTGTGGCGTCGTCGACGCCTTCGAATCTGAGGAAGGTGAAGTCAGATCAGATAATCGACCCGTGACTTGTAGACTATGCCGAGGTATTCAAATGGTAACAGCACGTATCAACAAAGTACCCAGCCTTTGCGCTGCAACTGCGGCGGGACCGCGGCTTACGAACTATCTATACAGGGAGACTAAAGAGCGGCGCGTACACGGGCGTCCATGACAAAAAAACACACCACATGCATGATGTCAGGCGATCGCGAAAGGAAGCAAAACCCGTGACGTACCCGTTGGCCGCCTCTTGGCGGCTGCCGACTAGCCACACGTCGGCTTGAACATCGTGCGCCTTCTTGGCGCTGCAGTTCGCGAGTAACGGCGGCATCAACGAGAAGGATGCGGCCAATGGCAACGGCGAGATGAAACGTCGACGGCGGGAGTTAGCCATCAGCTCAAGCTCCAGCGAAACAGCTGAGCGGAACATGAAGAGCTGTTTGTTGATCAACAGCTCAAGCATTGTACACGTTGTCGGGAGTCAGTCGATGAATGAACCCGTTTCTCTGGACTATATACTTATAGTACTCACCTGGCCGGAAGAACTCCAAGCTCTGCCCCGGAAATGGCAGAAATCTTGTAGCCCTTCGGGCCCAAGGATCTCGTTTCTTGTTTGGAGATGTCCCTGCGGGTAAGATAGCATGGCAAAGGGGGCAAAACAGGAACAACACAACACTGCAAGGTCAGCAACAGGTACGGTGTGTACCAGTTGCTGGCTCCTTCCGAGCAGCATCGTCATCGTCGTCACGACTATCAGCATCGGCATCGACATCGACATCAATCGCATCGGCAGTATAAGCAGCATCGGCAGCATCACTAGGGTTGGCGTCATGAACTGTACGGGATCATCACTGCCATGAAAAGGCTTCACTAACAGTTCGTCTCATGTTGAACGAGGCGACAACAATCGGGAAGGACAGTGAGGGGGTGCCAGCTTCGTTACGGCGAGAGGAAAAACACGTAGCTAGATCGAAACACGACCCTGCACCTAGTTAGCAGGAAAGAGAGGACCGGGTACAGCCCCATTGCATACATGCACGAACAATAATGACTAAGGAGCAGCGTCAACCTGACAGATTCCATATGATCAGCATCAGAAATATTGGCGCCGACTACGTTCGATCAATATGAGTCGAGAAACTGCAAGGCCGCAAGGAACGGCAGGCAGCATTAACATCGCCCTGAACAAGGATATCAGCGGGCGACAGCGAACGAGGGAGGCTTGTTTATGTTGTCCATTTCGATGCGCCAGACCTGAGACAAAATCTGCTTTGACGCCGACAAAACAAGAAAACAAGCAATGCAGACCTGTATTACATACATTCAAACCTTCTGATGATCAAGGTTTCTTGATCGGATCGTGTGAGCACTTCGCCACTTGCGAGTCTCATATCGAAAAAGGCATTGGCCCCCATGACCCGTGATCTACAATTTCCAACACTGCTCCGAGGCCAAGGATTTCATTTCCGTGGTGAGGGTCGAACCACATCCAAGCAATGCGTGAACCACTGAAAAACACGGCCGAATGAAGCCCCACGACCGGCGAAGGCAACCAACTCCTGAATAACAGACCAACAAACAAGAAAAACAATTTCCGACCGAGGACGACGTTCATCGTCCTAGACCGTAGCCTAGAGCCCATCGCTCCGGTTTAGAAGGTGAAACGGACACATCACGCACTACAGGGATGCCACTGCGTCGAAAATAATCCAACATCGAGCTATCCTCAACGCCATACGAAGCTGGAGAGGGAGTCCCGTCTGGACTCCCGCCGACAAGCCCAACTCTACTCCACGCCCTGAAGGTACATATGGGAGCCGGGTACACAATACAACTGCTGCACAGAGATGTAACAAGATTGACCACGCACATCATACTTACGAGATACATAGCATGCCCTGTCCTTAAAACCCGTCGCTACACGGACGGGCCGACACTTTGCCAGACAACTCGTTGTTGGGATACTCTACAAACCATATACCGCGCCCCGTTACAGCCAATGGTCTAACCACTACGGTGTGCAAAACATGACTACTACGTCCCCTTACACACCAGGCGTTAGTGCAAGGGAGTGGTCTGGCGACTCGATAATCTCTAAGATGCTACAACTGAGGCAGCGGCACACGCACTAGTTGAACTTGGGCTTTAGGTTCGTGCCACAAGTGCCGCCCTCGTCTCTCTCTATCCTGAATAAGGTGCCTTGTCTCTGATAGAAGCGCCACATGTTTGGCAGAAGCAGTCTTGGTGGAAAGAAGCGGAGCTGAAAGGCAGGCGCAACAAGACTACTCGTTCTTCGACCAGCCCACAAAGGCGACCCATGCGTGGTCTGCTGCTCTCAAAGCGGAAATCGAAACACGATTCCCCAGGCAATATTGATGCACAACATCAACACGCCCGAAGAGACAATCCCACGAAGATCGTTTCTTGAGATGAGATTCTCGGCAGAGCGCATGGGGGCCGTTGGGCTCAAGGGGGACGTGGGGAAGTGCTTGTGTGTGGGCCCCTACAAGGGTAGTATTGCACATGGGATCAGGGCTTTCCTTTCAAGCATATCGTATGGTGGCCCCCCTTTACGCCGTACTTCAGTTCAAGGTAGGGGAAATATCCCCCAACACCCCCACAACATAAGAAAGCAGAAAATTACGTACCATGGGAGATCAAGACTAGGCAGCAACTACAAGGCAAACTGGAAATCTCAACATATGCACCAATAAACGGCTTCTGGAGTCCTATCGTACATAGGTCAAAGGCATAACCAACAAGGAAAAATGAATACCCTGCATCACCCCAACAGGTCCACCTCAAAACATGTACCATCTGCTCTCAACAGTATTCATCTACGTATACTTCGGGAAGTCTTACATACTTCGAAACATGTAGGAAGGAAAGAAGGAAGGTAGCTGTTGTACAAGGCAGACAGGAAATATGAGTGCAAAATATGGAAAAATACGGCCAGGATTACGACTCGCGACGGCAAACTATCTCCTGAACAACACGTCCGAGGGCACACGAAAGGGCACCAACGTTCATCGAACTAGACCGTAGCCTAGAGCCCATCGCTCCGGTTTAGAAGGTGAAATGGACACATCACGCACTACAGGGATGCCACTGCGTCGAAAATAATCCAACATCGAGCTATCCCCAACGCCATACGAAGCTGGAGAGGGAGTCCCGTCTGGACTCCCGCCGACAAGTTCAAGGTAGGGGAAATATCCCCCAACACCCCCACAACATGGGAAAGCTCAAATGTACGATATAACGAGATTGACCACGCACATCATACTTAGCTACGAGATACATAGCATGCCCTGTCCTTAAAACCCGTCGCTACACGGACGGGCCGACACTTTGCCAGACAACTCGTTGTTGGGATACTCTACAAACCATATACCGCGCCCCCTTACAGCCAATGGTCTAACCACTACGGTGTGCAAAACATGACTACTACGTGCCCTTACACACCAGGCGTTCGTGCAAGGGAGTGGTCTGGGCGACTCGATAATCTCTAAGATGCTACAACCGAGGCAGTGGCACACGCACTAGTTGAACTTGGGCTTTAGGTTCGTGCCACAAGTGCCGCCCTCGTCTCTCTCTATCCTGAATAAGGTGCCTTGTCTCTGATAGAAGCGCCACATGTTTGGCAGAAGCAGTCTTGGTGGAAAGAAGCGGAGCTGAAAGGCAGGCGCAACAAGACTACTCGTTCTTCGACCAGCCCACAAAGGCGACCCATGCGTGGTCTGCTGCTCTCAAAGCGGAACTCGAAACACGATTCCCCAGGCAATATTGATGCACAACATCAACACGCCCGAAGGGACAATCCCACGAAGATCGTTTCTTGAGATGAGATTCTCGGCAGAGCGCATGGGGGCCGTTGGGCTCAAGGGGGACGTGGGGAAGTGCTTGTGTGTGGGCCCCTACAAGGGTAGTATTGCACATGGGATCAGGGCTTTCCTTTCAAGCATATCGTATGGTGGCCCCCCTTTACGCCGTACTTCAGTTCAAGGTAGGGGAAATATCCCCCAACACCCCCACAAGATAGGCAAGATGAAAATTACGTACCACGGTGGGAGATTAAGACTAGGCAGCAACTACAAGGCAAACTGGAAATCTCAACATATGCACCAATTAACGGCTTCGGGAGTCCTATCGTTCATAGGTCAAAGGCTTAACCAACAAGGAAAAATGAATACCCTGCATCACCCCAACAGGTCCACCTCAAAACACGTACTAGTCTGCTCTCAACAGTATTCATCTACGTATACTTCGGGAAGTGTTACATACTTCGAAACTTGTAGGAAGAAAAGAAGGAAGGTAGCTGTTGTACAAGGCAGACAGGAAACATGAGTGCAAAATATGGAAAAACACGGCCAGGATTACGACTCGCGACGGCAAACTATCTCCCGAACAACAAGTCCGAGGGCACACGAAAGGGCACCAACGTTCATCGAACTAGACCGTAGCCTAGAGCCCATCGCTCCGGTTTAGAAGGTGAAACGGACACATCACGCACTACAGGGATGCCACTGCGTCGAAAATAATCCAACATCGAGCTATCCCCAACGCCATACGAAGCTGGAGAGGGAGTCCCGTCTGGACTCCCGCCGACAAGTTCAACTCTACTTCACGCCCTGAAGATACACATGGAAGCAGGGTACACAATACAACTGCTGCACAGAGATATAGCGAGATTGACCACGCACATCATACTTAGCTACGAGATACATAGCATTCCCTGTACTTAAAACCCGTCGCTACACGGACGGGCCGACACTTTGCCAGACAACTCGTTGTTGGGATACTCTACAAACCATATACCGCGCCCCCTTACAGCCAATGGTCTAACCACTACGGTGTGCAAAACATGACTACTACGTCCCCTTACACACCAGGCGTTCGTGCAAGGGAGTGGTCTGGCGACTCGATAATCTCTAAGATGCTACAACTGAGGCAGCGGCACACGCACTAGTTGAAATTGGGCTTTAGGTTCGTGCCACAAGTGCCGCCCTCGTCCCTCTCTATCCTGAATAAGGTGCCTTGTCTCTGATAGAAGCGCCACATGTTTGGCAGAAGCAGTCTTGGTGGAAAGAAGCGGAGCTGAAAGGCAGGCGCAACAAGACTACTCGTTCTTCGACCAGCCCACAAAGGCGACCCATGCGTGGTCTGCTGCTCTCAAAGCGGAAATCGAAACACGATTCCCCAGGCAATATTGATGCACAACATCAACACGCCCGAAGAGACAATCCCACGAAGATCGTTTCTTGAGATGAGATTCTCGGCAGAGCGCATGGGGGCCGTTGGGCTCAAGGGGGACATGGGGAAGTGCTTGTGTGTGGGCCCCTACAAGGGTAGTATTGCACATGGGATCAGGGCTTTCCTTTCAAGCATATCTTATGTTGGCCCCCCTTTACGCCGTACTTCAGTTCAAGGTAGGGGAAGTATCCCCCAACACCCCCACAACATAGGAAAGCTGAAAATTACGTACAACTCTCGACAGATTCGTGTACATGCTCCTCGGGGAAGTCCTAGTGGAAGTCGGCCTCACACAGCGTGTGTAACGACATTGAATGCCACGGGGCAAGGTCAGATCAGCAAGCACGGGGAAGAAGAGATGTTCGGCTTTTGGTGGGTGGGGCAGAGGGCAAAGTATTGGCCATGGTGCAAGAACGCGCGTCTCAGTCGGGAGGGGGA